GAACAAAGGTGACGGCAAGGGGAACCACTCCGACGAGGTGTAAGTCCGACCTTGTGACCTCCACGTGGTACATCTTGGGTAACGCTGACACAGGCGGCATCGACTGTTCAAGATCTTGATAATTAGGAATCTTTAAAAATCGATGTACACGACTACAAATGAATCTAAAGGTAGAATTCAAATTCACCAGCAGATGGATGCATCATAGCTATAATAAATACCCAGTATTGTTTGAACTATTTTTTGTACAAACACATCCATATCTTTTAGAAGGTTGGTACGGGTGCTCTAAAAGTAACTTGACCTCCACATGACCTCTAAGAGTAATTTTGACCTAGGCTTGATAACGTATTCGGACGTAAAATTTTCCGCTATTTTCATTTGTGATGTCATGAATAAGGGTTTACATTTGTAAAACGGTACTTTGACCTTGAGTTATGCCCAAGGTCGACCTCAAGGTCAAATTCAAGGTCACCATCAGATAGATCTCCCGAAATCCTGCAAATTTTGTCTGAACCATTTTTTTGTACAAACACATCCCTACCTTTTAAAAGGGTGGTACGGGTGCTCTGAGACACCCAGTATATATATATATAGATGTGTTATTTCACAATAGCAAGAATGAATCTTGTGATTGAATTAATTTTCTTTGATAGGCTATTGTAGTGTGTCTAGATTCGAAGGATTATGTACAAATAAGGAATTCTTTAATAATATTGATCAAGATATTGCCTCATTTTCCTGTTTTGGCGAAACTCTCTCAGATCCTCGAACGTAAAGTGGAGAAAATAAGAGAAGAAGAATATGGTCAACATCAAGATTTGAGTCTTAGCTACATCATATAGTGGGCAGCTAAAAGCTAAAACTCCCAATGTGATACGTGAATCAGACTTCCACCATGAAGGTGATAAGGTAATAAAAAAAATTATCTTTATACAGGTGGGTGATTTGTTGAAGTTTGTAAAGCAGAAAAATTATACTTTAAAAGTATTTGAGAAAATTATCAATTAGAAAAAGTTATAACATTATATATATATATACAGGATGATTGTAACATATTTCGTCATTCATTATGAGGTAGAGTGAATCGAACTGAGTCGAAAAGTCATCCACCATTTTGCAGTTTACGCAATAGTTAACGAGAAATTAATATTTAAAGAAATTAATATTAAAGATAGACGAATACGTGCGGCCTACTACATAGTGCGATAACCATTCCCGCTCCTCGCGGTCCAGCCGGCGCGCTGTGCGATCTGTGGGGACGGTAGGCTGTTCTTCGGCAATAGTAGGTCGGGCGGATGCACGTATTCGCCTATCTTTAAACATTAATTTCTCGTTAACTATTGCGTAAACTGCAAAATGGTAGATGACTTTTCGACTCAATTTGATTCATTCGATCTACTTATGACGGATAACGAAATATGTTATCATCCTGTATTTTATATATATATATATATATATATATAT